TCCATTTGAGAATTAATTTCCTTATTTTTCTAAACGGTCGCCCCATCTTGTACGTCATCCAACCATGTTAAGCTCTGCAATCGTACGGGAACTGCAACTTTGATGATCCACAAATGTTAGTGAATGTATAATTGTGACATAAATATATAGAAAAACCACGAATCGACATCGGACCAGCGAATACAAACAATATTATATGTGCGAGCATTTTGCGGGCGCTGCCGATTCTCGCGTAAACATGTACGTTTAGAAATGAATCTCGTTAAAGGATCAATTTGACACAAGCGATTTAAATTTTCTATTTACATGACATTATATTTTTGTTTGTCTTTTACAAAATAGGTTTCGATATATAATTTATTCAATGTCGTTTCAACATTGCAGCAACATTAACAATCAGTGTGGAAAAATTCAATTTGTGGCTCAATTTATTCAATATTGTTTTTCAACGTTGCAGCATTAACAATCAATGTAGAAGAATCAATATAAATACAACATTGATAAAACATTGACATTTCAACATTCAACATCTCAGCAACATTTTTTCAACGTTCTGTGCTGTATGGGTTGGTTGGTGATCGACGAGAGACAAATTGCCTTCTAAGTAGCTCAACGTTTCCTCCATAAAAGCTTTTCCTTTATTTCAGATCGTTCCTCGTTCCTCTTTCTTCGTTCTATGTGCATATACATATATCAACAGTTAAAACACGACCTTCGCAAAGGATGCCGTCTCGCCTTTCGTAACTATATTTCCTCGCTCGTTGCCGAATACGGCGGCACCCTTCGCGCGTCGCTTATAATTCCGACTGCGTGTCTGATAAAATTTACGTGTATGGAGAGGCGTCGGCTTGCAAGTCGGCATGTGTGTCGTCTTTCTTGAAATTTCGCGTCACTTCTTCAAAGCCATCTACATAATTCCCAGCGCGACGGAAACGCACTGATTTAATCGGGTAATTGAATAGAACCTCACGAAAATACTATGTGTATGACCCTCATGAATGTTTTATTGCTGTAGCAACGATTTTGGAATAAATCATGGGTTCCGTCCGTTTAATATTTATTGTGCTCTAGTTAAAATTAATTACGATTGAATTAACTAATGTTTCAGTTACACGCGCACAGCTGTGATCATTTTTTAAACAATATACATAATTATATTGTATTATCACACTGCAAAATGTTTAATTAAGATCAATCATAATTTTCATTACCGACTTTTATTAAGTATAATCACATTTGTGAAATTGATGTCGCATTGAATGATATTGATTAAAGTACACAGCGATAATTTTTTTTTTATGCATTACCCTCCCCCCCCCACCCGCCTCTTCCAGCGTAACAAATTATTATAAACACTAAGAAGAACATAATTGCTCGCTTTATTTCGTTTACTACTAACTATTTCTAAACAATGTGTGGTTTCTCAATTATACTACAAGCCTGATTATGTTGAATGGAACTGTGCGCGTACATATGGGTTAATAATGATCCTGTGGTTCGAATCTGGCTAACGAGCGATAATGAGTTTCCACGAACGTGTTCTTTGCGAACAGGTTTACCGTATGATGCATTTTGTGAATAGAAATAATTCTGTACATTATTCATAATGTTTACGTCATGCGTTAAAATGCCAATTCTTTGGTTTCTTCATTTTATTTCCCGTATCTTGCTAAATATTTAAGGAGCAAAACTCAATCCCTTGAGTAACATTTTGTTATTTTTAACTTCTATATGTATCAAAATGTAACTCAATCCATTACTGTAGTTAGTTTCAGAGTAAACAACGTCCATATTAATGCATGTTCTTGAGTTCAATTGTTTACTCCATTGTTTTAATTAAATTGACGACATATTGGAACAGTGGGCGACCTACATAATAATTAAAAATAACTCAAATTGGGTATAATTTGGCATTATGAATTTAACAGTGTACTCTTATTTTTATATTGTATTAACACATTTCCAAGAGGTAAACCGCTGAGGTACACCGCATTACGGTGTACAAATTTGGGGCATTACTGGGGTATTACTAAAACATTACTAGTAAAGTTCTATATTAATAAAAGTAGCGCAAAAATCCGCCATATTGGACTCTTACTAACTATACCACACTAATACATACCATACTAATCGCAATAATACTAAGAGCTTATCGGACTACAGACAACTAAGTCTAAAATGGCGGTCGAAATAGCCAATGGGAAAGTTATCGGCATTTCGACTCAGATCAAAGAAATGCGCTACTTTTATTAATATAGAGCTTCAATTACTAGAACGTTAATGGATATTACTAGGGCATTAGTGAACTTAGTGGGCATAAAATTTGGGTATTATTTGGCATTAGTAGGCATTGATGTATACAATTTTGGTCAACGGTTTATCTCTTGCACATTTCCATTTAAACTGTATCAATAATGATTATTGCAAGCACGAAATTTATTTATAAGTTCGTGTATTAAATTAATTTTCTACGTGTCGGAATACTACAATTTCTCGAGAGAGGGAAGAAAATAGGCTATCATAGATAAGAATCACTTCGCAGGAATCGCTTCATGCAATTTGCAGATCTAAAAGCAGATTGACCGATCAATGGAAACGGATTCATTCACCGAATCGCGGCGCGCGGATTGATACAGTTATTTGCAGGCGCATAATAATTAATTTACGGCGGGCGGATGTGGAGGAAGGGAATTTCATAATTCAGTGGCGACACGTACGAGTTTACGCGCTCGGGCACGTGTCTCGCCGCCCTCGTCATCGTCGTCGTCACGTTAGGTGGTAGGTACGCAGTTTGCATTCGTCGGGACTGTTTCTCGAGCGGCACGGGGCGGCGCAGCGGCGCGGCGGCTTGCCAGACAACTCGGTTATAACGATTGAAGTTTCGTCGTGGCGTGGATTACATCCTCGTAATTGCGCGCACACCTCGCGTCTTATGCGAGAGCGGAGAAAGCGGCATCGTACGCGAGAGGGACTTCCTTTAAATCGAGGAAGTGAAACGAGAATTGAGGGGAAGTACGACGAGGAGGGATACGGTGGAGCAGAGGACGACGGGACGGGGAAGAGGTCTTTGCACTCGTACCGACGTACGACCACCGACAAAAGTCCCCGCAGACATTCGAGGAGGTTGATCCACCTTCCCTGCCGCGCGCTCTCTGCTGTCTTCGCTCGCTCGCAAGGAATTATAACGCGATAGCGCCTCCGCGTGTTGATAAACGTCAAATGCGTAGTTGGTGCGAAGCACTTCGTTGAAACGAATTGTTTTGCATTCTGCTATAAAAAAATTTGCCGTGCAGCATTTTAAACATCGATCTGGTTATTTCTAAATAAGGCATGAAGATTATTAACATGCAGCGTACACTGACAAAAAAATGACCAGATTTTAATAAATATTTGTTTCAAAATACGCAATATTTACTAAACGTAAACATGTTTTTTTTTATATTTAAACATAACTTTTTCATTTTGAGTAAATATTTATTTACTGCAAGTAAATATTTTGTTAGTATTATTGAAACAAATATTTATTAAAATTCAACAAATTTTTCTTTTCTTTTTTTTTTTAGTATAGTTTAAACTTATGTCCCAGAAGCTAAAGTCATCTTTCAGACTTGTCGGGGTTATAAATAAATCCCTACTCAATGATTTAGGGATTATATTATTTGGAACTATTTATTATTATAAAAAATAATAAAAGTGTAATCTAATTCTCTCTCTTTTAATTGCATTGAAAATTATATATGTATACTTTCATATTAATAATAAATAAATAAATACGTGAAAGCACACACTGATCAATATAAATGACATCCGATATAAAAAACGATTTTCTTTCTTATTATATTTGATGTACGAATTAAACAAATTTGAACATGTGACTCACGTGTGACTATAACTCACATGATTGTTAGGCTTCGCGGAAGGCAATAATGATTGTGCCGACTGTTAGTTATGATGTTTGGTCGCTACCATGTGTCGTTAATTAACGAAACCTACGACATACACCGGCATCCGTACTAGCAACGGCAGCAGGTTGCACGGCCATAATATGTTACCGGCGTCGAGCTAAAGTATATAGAGCGAGATGCTTGTGAGATTTAGGGACGCTCGCGTTATTCGCTGCCTTATGGCTCTGTACTTTGTAGTCTATTTTAATTTACGAAAAGCAGGGAAAAAAAACCGACGAATAAACTGCCTCCGCGAATTGCTTGTTACGTTCAGAATCGTATCTAATGAATTGGTGACATTATGACGTTGTTTTCCAGGTGTATTTTCCTGGTTATTTAATTAATCTCAAGAAAAAGTCTGAGAAATTCATTTGTTCTCATTAATTCCGCAATTTTATTTTGTGTCTATCTGCCGCGAATAAAAATTGGTTATCTCAATACTATTTCCACAGAAGCACTGTGGGCCGCGACAAGGGAAATAAAGCGAGCTATATGTCATTGTTCTGATTCGCTTGTTGCTATCAACGCCGCATATCGGATGAATCACATTTGCGACGTCGTGTTATTGTATAATGGAAAAAAATATGCTTTTCACAACAAAAAGAGCGTGTTACGATTTTGCAAGGAATATTTTACGTTTCATGTTAGAAATATAATTATTGCCTTGACCGTGCGCGTCTCACGTTTCCTCTCCTGTCATTATCGTAAATTTCGCATATACGTTAATTAAAACGCGCCGTAGCTAGTTGTAAAAAACTTATCGTAAAAAGGTCGCGTAATATTCAGACATAGGCAGCTTCATTTGTATTATTCGGGATTATGCGCAATCTGTAACAAAAAAATTATATTATGTATTCATATTAAGTATAATGTGAATACGAATTTTTAGATAATAATTGAATAAAAGAATAGAAAAGAAATATAATTACAATTATAGTTACAATTATTATCTGTAAAATGATATAATGCTATTAATAAAACAAACTTCAATTTGCTATTATTTGCTGAATGTAAATCATGCTATTTAAATATTAAACGCTGATCTATTTTTTCCAGACAGGTATGCTGTCTATTGTTGTGCCACCTGATTTCGATCCTGAAGCTACATCAAGTGATATGATGGTGGGCGAAGGTGGCCAGGTAAATATCTTCCTTTATTTTTTAATTATATACTATATTTTACCTATAATTTTAATTCTCAATTATCAAAAAAAAAGCTTTTAATTATTAACAATTTAAGAACTGCAACCTTTTTAGTCATAAGAAATAGTATTTATCTTACATTGCTACCTTTTCACAATGAAAAGAATGATTTTGAATTTTGTTGGATTATCAAAATAATTTTTAGTTAAAGTTTAACGCTTTCTATCATATTTACAATGTTCTTTAGCAACAAATTCATTGCGTAATTCATTGCGTGTATTATCTGAAAATGGCTCAATCCAAAAGCCGAAACATGTAATAACTAATGTACCTTTTCGAATTTAAATAATGTAATATATTCTATGTTTTAACCTTTTACATTGGAATTGTTAATATTTACTCTTATATACCTTTTATAATCTCTGTATTGTTTTTTAAAATTAAGAGTCCTATATTCTTTATTATATGATTTCAAAATAATTTTGTTGGAAAACTAATTATTACAATTAATCAAAATTAATTGCAGCCTTATTTATCATTTTTTAATTATCAATATATAATTATTTTAGTAATCCAATAAAAAACTGTTTTCAAATTTGTATCCAGTAAAATTTTAGATCTTACAGGAAAATTCTTCTTTCCTTATAAAATACGACGATTAAATTTCTCTCGATCGAAATTAATTTTCGTCTCAATCCCGACGATTCCATCTGCATGCAGAAATAAATTTGCGAATAAATATGCCAGAGGAAAGATGCGCGACTAGGCCAGGGAGGTCGTTAAATAATTTACTCTACACAGAAGCCGTCATGAATAAACGACGGTTTATAGCTTACAAATGTGCTGATTTACGTGTGTAGTAAATTATCAGACCAACGTTATATTCCGCGTGATTCATGTCGGAGAAATCTATATTGGAAAACGGCAGTACTCCACGAGTGTGTAACGGCTTGTGTCTGAATCTACAAATAACCTGCAACTTCATCGTCATTAATAACGCCTTAATTACGAAATTATCAATAAATCAAATTTATCGAGAAGTTTCTGACGAAATATTGATATCGAATTAAAAGTATGAGCAACTTTGAATATACTTGCCTTCCATCTGCACACTAACGTATATGAATTGGATATCGTATTTAGAAATATGTTGACACTTCAATTAATCAATGAAAAATAATTATAATGGTGAAGCGCACTTCATAATGTCATAGCAATTTCGTAACTGCAACTTGCAACACCTGTTGCAAGTGCTATTTCAACATTACATTCATAAAACCAACCCGCAATTATTATCATATTAAATGTCTTTTCATTATTAATAATTTTAATTGGAGTTTTATTATCTCACGCATTTTCGAGGTGAGAAAGGCGAGCTATTTCAATGATTAAAATCTATTAGTTTTGCAACGAAAAGAAAGTATAATCGTACATTTCATATATGTAATAGATTTTCAGCCTAATCGCTCATAAGTAATTCATTTAATCCGACAATTTTTTACGCGTAATTGTAAGAATGTAATCTGGCACACGCGTGTTATGGCCGGTCTTGACGTTTCGCGCCGGATGTTGTAAGTAAGCCATCAGAGAAAATAAGTGACCTGTTGCTCACAATTCATATTCCGTGGCAGTCGCGCAATTTGTGCGAATACCTCATCTCATCCTCGCGTTTTTCCGCGCGCATGGCCGACGGTGTCGCTCGGCTAAAGAATATTGCGCTTCCCTCGGAACGTCTGACAGGACACTTTTACGAAGACGAGACAGCTACTCCGCGAAGCTACTATCATGGACCATTTTAAACTTTGAAATTATACCGCGCATAGCGAGTCCCCCTATTATAAGCCACCGCAGTTGGTATAGTGAAAATTGTACAACTGTCAGTTTGATAAGTTACTTTCTATCTCTTTTGACGAGTTTGTCGGGACACATTTCTAAGTATCGCATCGTATTATTTTCGTTATAACAGAATTGTGTGCTGTAATATATATCTGATGGATATCATTTATGTAATTAAACAATTGCATAATCAAAAGTTTCAGCTTTCTTGAAACGACGAAATTTAATTCTTTACTCGTTTCTATAAAATATCATTTATGGACGTAAGCTGTATTAATAAGCCATATCAGCAGCGATTAGTTTGTATTTATTAAAATATCTTTTATACAATGTAAAATCATAGAATGTATTTTTAATGGACGGATTTTTTTTAACATAATTTAAGATCAATTTCTCTTTAATAAACATGACGAGACAATAAGGGAATGAAAAAGAAGGGTTTTTCATGTATTAAACTTCAAGTCAAACAGATAACAAAACTACATTCTTCAGTTTAGTTTCGAGTAGAGTTTATCTTGAGAGAATTTTAATTCGAAGCGTAGCCACTAAAATAAATAATTCAAGAGATTAAAAAGTTGCAGTAAGTGAAAATCTTCCCCGACATTTTCATTAAGACAAATTTACTAAAGAACTCTGTTATTAAGAATTGATTAGTGATTGTTTTAAGATACTTTATATATCTCGTATAATACAGGGTGACCATTAGAATGTTGAAAGTATAACCCGTTATATTTTTTTTCTTCAGTTTAAAATTATTTCTCAGGTAAGAGTCGAGTATTTGACTCGTCAATTTCATTTGAGCCGTCATATAAGGTTGAATATCAGCATGAACGTATACTTCATTATGCTTCTATAATAGAAGCAAAACTTATACAGAAGCATATCGTAGATTTCATAAATATATATTGAGAGAAATGTTAATAAAAACTTTCTGGCTTTCTAATTTAAAAATTGTGTTCCTCTAATGATTATGCTAACCAAATTTTGATTAAAACAACACAAGTTTGGTTATTCTAATCAAATTTTGATTAGAGCAACACCATTTTAACAAAAAGATAAGAAGAAAGTTTTTTTGTTACTCACATAACAAAATGGTTAAACGTACTGAAACATTTCTCTCAATGTAAAGCTAAAAGAGCTTCAAGCAAAAGTACTCTTACTCTTAAACTCGTACAGTGTCAAATTCTATAAAACTTTATACAATTTTAATAAATTTTGTGTAACATACTTTCAACACGATACAAATAACTGTATTTAAAATATTAATGAACACTATTGAAAGAAATATCTCAATGTGTAAAGCAATTTTAAGAAGTTGAATAACGTTTGTCTCAAAAGCCACATTGAGGCTTAATGTGATAAGGTTTAATAAAAACGATGTCCAACGACAGATTCAAAATAATCGTTTAAAAAAGAACGAGGTGCCGTGTTAGATAAAGTTAATAAAAAATTGAAATTTTAATCGAAGTTCTGGTTTGTGTTCATCCGTTTTCTAACGGTAGAAACCGAATCCATCGAGTTAATAAATAATTTTCTCAGGCTATAACTGTTGTTATTAACGGCTCGTGCTCGCCAAACCGTCATAAAATAATAAAAAGGACTCCAAAAAGATCTATACTCGCAGAGATTTTTCGCGGTTTATCGCATTTCATTCCATAAAATGTCCCACGTTTTCACATCGTACTGAAATAAATACCAAAAGATTTCAATTTTTAAACTTATTTTTTTCCACCAGCAATAAAAGCTGTCACATTTAGAATGTCTATCCTCGGCCCAGTTGCGATCTTAATTTAAAATTAATTAAGGACTCCTGACAAAAACGCGAAATTCTCTCTCCCATAAGCTTTTCCCAAAGTAACTAAAGAATGTTTAACGTTCCATCGAAAGTGTATGCTTCGAATTATAAATATATCCTTCCAATATGTATGTATTTGCAATCGATATATTTGTTTATTTCTCAAAAATAATATGTTTAATTTCAAAATTCTGCTCGAAACTGATATTATGTAAAATTTATATCCACATCTCGATGAAATTAATAATATTTGAAACTTTATCAGGTACAATTACTACAACACAATATTATACATATATTAATGAGCTTGTGCTCATTTTATTCGACTGTTATTTTTTTCAATTTTCTGGAAACATTTCCAAACTGTTACAAGGTGCAATCAGAGATTTATAGATATCACTAGTTACAGTTATTACATAAATTGTAGGCACCTAAATTTTAAGCGCTGAGAGGAAGCTGTTTGGAGAAGCTAAGAAGGCTCGCGTCTTATTTTATGCTTTTTTTGAAGGTAGTTACGCAAAATACACGACATGCAATAACTTACGTTGCACTTTGGGATCGTGCTAACACGATGTTCATCCAAAAATGTCACAGATATTGCAAGCCAGCAGGCGGCGTGTCAGTGGAAAGCAAACGAACAAACAGCGTAGTATGCTGCGACACGTGTCGTGTCGTTAATTGTCAACATGCCGTTTATATTTTCCATTGTAGAACACACAGATATTCATTTCGCGTACGTGTTTCGCAACTCGTAACCCGCCGCGTTTCGCTGCCGTTCATTTCGAGTATCCACACAACATTGTAACCGATGAAAATCGGGCCGATATTCATAATTGATGGCCGCGAATGCAGACACACGTTAGAGCGACAAATTATGAAAATCGACTTGATTTAATCGCGTCTGACCTCGTTATCGCTATTAAAAATAACCTCGGATCATCGCTTGGATTATTAAAAGCTGCCCAGAAGCGAAAATATCGCTAAATTCAAGCTCCTCCGTTAACGAGAATTGGAGGAGGTCCGCGATAAAATCGGCCGCGCGAGCGCGACGGAGCAGGTAACCGTTAAAAATCGTCCGGCATCCCATCGGGATATTTCATGCTCCTCGCGATCGTAGATTCGTTTTCCGCTCGAGTATCTGTGCGAATACACTATTGTACCAGACAAACGTCCTCGCGCGCGCGTACGTGTTTTACATAGAGACGGAGACCCGTTCTCGCGCGCGCGCGCGCGCGCGTCCCTCTCTTCCTCCTTTATTCCTCCAAATATATTTGGATGAAGCACGGCATTAGTGGAGTGCAATAACGAACTCGCTTCTCTTTATAATTCCGGTTTCATAACACGTACAGGTGAAGTTAACGTGCCGGGCGAGAGGCGTACCCGAGCCGCGCGTATCCTGGCGTCGGGAAGACGGCAAGCCCATTATAATTCGGGAGCCATTTGCAGGAAGCGCCCCGAACCAGAAGTCTCACGGTAAGATTTAATATAGATGGTACACCCCCGCGCCGATACAGCGCGGTATATGCAATTATGTTTTCCTTAGGCGCGCATGCCGCACATCGCGCGATCCCCTTAGTATTCAAATTCCCTCATTACGAATCGTGGTTCCGGAGTTTAAGATAAATTTCGCCCGGAAACCGATTCCGCCGATGTTACGAGATGATGCCTTCGCTTTCCCGCGGATTCTGCCCCGAATCGCCGGCCACCGTCGCCTCCTTCATTCCGCGGATCATTAAACGTAATGTCGAATTCCATCGCGTTTAATATCGAGCCAGTTATAGAGCACACGCGTTCACCTTCTTTGGGATTCTCTCGTAATTTATGCTCATATTAAAATAGGAGAGTCGTTCATTTCAGATACGAAATGGCAGTTTGTCGAAAGTTGCTCTTACAAGGGAACCGTTAGAACTGTCCTTCATCGATTTTGATGGATTTTGGACATGTTGTAAAGCAGCAAAAAATATTCAGCTGACATTTTTCATCCGCTTATATCAAGGTTTAGGGTAGGAACAACTTCTCGAAAGTAAACAGATTTTTTTATTTTCCACATTTTCGAGAGAAAATGAATGAAAGTATGAAACAACATAAAACTTTTTTTGCATAAAATACCTTCTCATATATCTCATAATTTCGAAGATCATTGAAAATGAAAAACAATTGTTATTTTTTAGGGGCTGTTTCGATTTCTAAACCTTGAGGTAAGTAGATAAAAAATGGGTCTAACATCTTTTTTATGCATTATATAATCAAAGCCCATCAAAATCAGTGAGAAACAGTTCCCTTGTTAGTAGTTTGAGGAACTTACGATCGATTTTTCCTTTTTAATACTACTGGAATAAAACTAATCCTAATAATTAATAATTCGATTCCAGAGAAGTAAAATTGCTTAATATTAATTTTTTACTGAACTATAATTATTCAACGAATCGAAGAAATTCTAGATCGAGAAAATTCAGATCAAAATGTTGGACAATATGAAATTATTGCATGTTTCTCGACAAAGACTCTTGAGAAGCGTAAAATGAATGTTGGACGGAAAACACTGTTCGCGAGCCGAGCAAAGCATCCTGCCTTTCCCTCGACCGTCGCGTTGGTCTCGGCTAAACGACGTATTTAGTATTCACTTCAGCATGGTGATACTAATAGCAGGCAAATTTCGCTGTACTGTCAACGTGGTCCAAGGATGCAACGCCGCGGCAACCGGTGTAACATATGCCGAGCGCAAACCTGCACCTCTGAACGACCCGACTCCGCCGGCTTATTGTCGACACTACAATCGCAGTGATTATCGGACTCATGTCGGAAAAGTTTGCTTTAGTTTCGTGATTATCACAAGATTTAATTAACATTGGAAATAATTCCTTTACGGATGTTAACTAACTAGGAAACCGTCAGAACTGTCTCTCATCGATTTTAACGAGCTTTGAATTAAATATCATTTCGATAAAACTTTATAGATCCATATTTTCTTTATCTGTCTAGGGATCGAAACATCCTTGACAGCAAGTTAAAGAAATTTTGACATTTTCAAAAATGTGAATATGCCGTTATTAAGAGTAAATATAAAATATGATAAAATTTTCTTACAAAACACTTTTTTCATATATCTTATATTATAGTTTTGAACATGAAAAAAATCTATTGTTCTCGACGGATTATTTTGATCCCAAAATCTTGAGAAAAGCAGAAAAAATTAAAAAATATAGTTTTAAAATATTTTTTTATATTCTATAACATATTCAATATCTAATATTAAAATTGATGAGGGACAGTAGTTTCCGATGTGGTTTGTAAGTAATACAGCGAAAAATCTATAACTACCTTGATAGAATTTTATTAAAAATGTCGAAACATGGCAAAATTTAAAAAAATTAAATAATTTGATTTGATTGACCTTTATTACTGAAAATCTTATTAACTTTCATTCCAAATTCTTCGGAATGAATTTCCAAAAGAGTGAAATTGTATTCCAAAGAATTTAGTGAGTTGATTTTTGACTCCATTACGATCCATTATCATTACTCATATTTTGCTTTGGTGAAACTAATTTTTAGATGTTTATTGCCAAAAATATAGTTTAAAAAAGTTGAATTTCTGAGAAATTTTGTAAACGCACAGATGGTCTACATTTGCATTGTAAAGAATAGCTTTTCCTACGCTGCACTACTTAATAAGTAAGAAATTTTTAGATTCTTTCGCTGTCGATTTCTGAAACTCATAAAAAAATCGTCAATTTTTCAGTAATCTAAATATTCAGTAATCTAAATATCTATCGAACGAAATGTTTTTTAATTCCAATTTGTTTTTCATCTATTTAATTTTCTTAATACAAACTCGAGAAATATATTTCAAAATTTTTCAAACTTACTTTCCCCGTTCCAACTTATTATTTTCAAAGAACTAATTTCCAAGCGCGAACAAAGAATAAACTTTTACTTTTAAGATTTGAATGGGAAAACGGGAATCGTGTCGTTCATCGAGACTTCATAGTACTTCGATTAAGTTCGGAGTGCAAGCACAAAACGACATTTACACCGTTTCCGCGTAATTAATTCGCGGGGCGGAAAACACACGGGGTGTGTCTGAGGACCTTCGGGAAAATCGATGTTTTTGCATGTTGAACTGCTGATGTAGTATAACACGAGGCCGCAGGTGAGGAGGGCCCCGTCCGTTTGCTTAGTATATTTCGCGGTAAGGAACAGGTGCAGGCGAAACAAATTGAGCTTGTCTTATCTGCGCGCGCCACTTTGTTGTTTGCATCTGAATATACGCTCATGAACGTATTTAGAACGAACGATATGTGAAGAGCAAGGTTATTTAACAAAAATATTTCTTTTGCTTAATTTACACCGATGCATGAAGCGTGAAATTATTTGATTGGATTTTACAAATTGTTGAAACTTTTGAAGTTGTAGAAATATGAAGCAAATAGATTTGCAAATACTGATTAAGAATTCGTGTTAAAAATGCAGCATATAAAATGCGCACACACGAAAGTATAACATGCGTTACATGTTTTGTAATAAAATATTGGAGAAGCATAATTAGCGCGAATATAATATCATTAAGCGCATTTGTCGTTTTATTGATTATCGACCATTGCTTTTGTAACAGGTCGTTCGCTTCATGTTCTTTCTCCGTCCGCCTACATACAGTGGTTACTCTTCGTTAAATAACAATAGCCAGAGACACCGATTGTCAGCTAAAGTTTCTACTAATTAATTATATACGTATATATAATTAAATTGGCAGACTCTTTAGAAAAAAATTAGTTTGGATAAAGCAAGAAGGAATATCTGCTATTAATTTTGTGCTAATTATTATTTCTGATCGATAAAAAGATAGCTAAATAATAGTTTCGATTAAAATTAATTTAATTAATTTAATTAATTTTAATCAAAGCTATTATTAAGCTATTTTTTATTTATGTATTTATTTATGTTTATCAATTAATAAGTTGCTTTACTTTCTGTATTGGATACGCTTAACTGACTTACTAATAATTATTTGTTTAAATAGAATAATATTGAACTCTATCACGTAAATGCGTACTCAATTTATAGAAAATAACTAACGTATCATGTATTTACGTTAAATTATTAAAGTAAACTATAAACGTAATTAGCAAAATAAATCAATATATTGATTGATCAAATTGTGGCATTTCGAGAAAAAAGCAACTTTATATTAAAATAAAGTCAACGTGGACGCGAATTTTGGGGCGCTCTAGCGATTTGTGTACCAAAGGTGGTCAATTTTATTCGACTTTAATGTTCCTCAATAGTTCCTCAGTCCGAATTTCTCGGCGAAGAACTGAAGTTGACGAAGATCTCGAGGAACGAGATGGGGGTTTATCTGTGTATTGCCAGCAACGGAGTTCCGCCCGCGGTCAGCAAACGTATTTATATCAACGTTCATTGTGAGTAATAGTAATTACGGTCCGAGCTATAAGATTGGATGTGTACCGTGTTTCTCGTATAAAAGCTAAAGCCGTGCTGAGGCTGAAAATGCAACAGTATCTTCCGATTTCGATTTACAGTTCCGCCAGTGATTCAGGTACCCAATCAGCTGGTCGGCGCGCCCTTGGGGACCGACGTGGTTCTGGAATGTTTCGTCGAAGCGTCGCCGATGTCGATTAACTATTGGGTCAAGGACCCTAAGGGTGAGATGACACGTGAGATGATTTCCATTAAAAATAGAGCTTTTGCATTATATTTCATATATCACATTCTGTTGCGCTTTAATACTTTGACATATTTCGGTGTAATTTTATTATATTTATTATATTTAGTTATTGTATTTTTTCAATCCATAATGCTAATTTCATCAGTGGCAATATTACTCGCTGGCTACATTCTTTATTATTTACCGTTTATTGGAAATTTTCCTAATTTGTTACATTTATCAACTGGCCAATAATTACTCGTATGGATTGACTTCAAACTTCCTAAATAATTGAATAAAGATGACGAGCTTTTCGATTGTATTTTTCGAGTTGTACACTTTTTCATAAATAATTAAGTAATTTCAAAGTTTGTAAATTAAATTAAATTTGGCTGTAATACATTCTAACATTTAATCTTGATCGATGCGTGTCATTGGTTTTGTTATTTGTAATTATTGACAATTCAGTTCCCTCTTGCCTTCGATCAATCAAATATGTATAAATTCAATAATAACAACAATCAGAACTATTAACAATACAGTTTTCTCTTCCACGCGAAATGAAATTATAATTTAATATAATAGGAATAATTTACAAAATATCTTTCCATTCATGTATATAAACAAATACGATACCATCAGCGTGAAATAGTTGTAGTTTACTCAGCTTAATATTTACCACAAGTAGCATAGTCCGTTATAGCGATTGGTTTGTTAACTAATTACTGACTGTAACTAGCGGAGAAATACTCAAACGTTAATTACTCTCGCAAGACAAATCCGATTATGGACCGTACTTTAGTTAGACGATTTCGATACACACTGAGCGTATAGTAGTGTGAGTGTCGAAAAACTCATTCGTATTATTAGAAACGCGTTCTAAGATTACGCAGATCAATAGCGATACAAAAAAAAAACGGAACAATAGACAATTCAGATTATCCTTTTATTTTACGCCATAAAATATAATAATAAAATATAAAAAATGTAAAATTTCTCAGTGCACAGTGTCAATAATTATCCGAAATTTTGGCTTTTTTTTCTTGTAAATAACATCGTAAATAAAAAGCGAAATATTTCGGTATCAAATTGTAAATCGTACGAAATGTCAACGAGCATCAGCAACATATCGCAACAACATGTAATAACTTTGCTCGGGATTTTTTAAGAAAACTTTAGATAGATATAAGAGAATACTACTTATCCAGACTCGTGGAAATATCCCCGCAGTGGATTTCGCCTCGTAAGAGCCAGACGTTCTCCAGTTTAACACACGCTTAGCTATCCGGAGTTCCTCGCTCCAATGCATTCGTATGCAATTTCGTCTCGCGTGGAAGATACCTTTCACTGGTTTCCCATTATACGCAACTGTTTCAACGTGTAATAAGAAAGCATAGCGGGAAACGGGCGAGTTATCTTATTTATGATAAAAGACGTGGCTTCTTAGCACAACGTAAAACATAAATATATCTCACATAGTTTAATTGAAATGGTATTTGAATAAATTATAATTAATATACGCGTACTATAAAGTTTTAAATTTTATTAAATTATATAATATTAGATCCTTGTTATTAAAACGATTAAAAAAAAAAATCGGAATATTAAAATAGAAAAATGTTTGCGTGCGTGTTGTATTCGATTAAAAGAAAAAAAAATCCTTGGCATGATTTCAATAGTCGAGAAATATATAAAACATAATTAGGATTTTGATCATTGCATAAACTCGTATATCTTAATTATTTTAATTTCAATCTCTTTCCCCTTCGCATAAAACATTCTGTATTTCTCTCTGTAATTTCATAATGAGTGATTTTTTTTTTATTGCCGCCGCATATCAATCTATAAAAATGCTGAATGAAAAATATGAGAAAAAACAACATGCAGTTCTCCGATGAAGTTGGAATAATCGAGTATGCTCTCCGCTTTGTTCTCCAGGTGCGATGATAATATCCAGCGTGAGGCACGACGTCCAAACGCTGACGAAGTCACCGTTCGAGGTCCGGATGATCCTCACGATCCGCAACTTGCAGAAAAACGACGTGGGAACGTACCGGTGTGCGGCCAAAAATTCCCTCGGCGAGGTCGAGAGTAGTATTCGATTATACGGTGAGTACACAGCGCGCGTTTTCGACCGTTATCAAACGAAGTTTTCCGCGGAGCCCATAAAGAATACCTAATTCGATTACTCGACGGAACGCAGTCAAAACGAGAGGGTGGAAGGGGGAGGGAGGGAGGGAGGGGGAGAATTCCGTGCCGCATTTCGTTTCAATGCACGTGTACATTTGCGGATAATCGCGATTCTTTCTACTTTTCTCCCTTTTTTTCCCCCCTTTTTTATTCTTTTGGATGGTCGTAACGCTAGGGATTAAGATTTCGTACCGTAAAATAAAACCTGCAAATAGACCGGCAGATAATTGCGCGGGAGGTCAACGGTGAAAAGTTTGCTCTGCAAACTGTGAATGAGTTATTATACATATAAACTCTGTGTCGGGATTAATTTTCTGCTTGTTACGGTTGATAACATCTATATTTTCTTCCTAACACTACTTTGTAATATATTAATATCAAGTAAACACTATTTAAATTTTAAATATATATGTTATGGAGAATCTGTTTGTTAGAAAATTTTAATTTTTTTCTTGTTATTTATTATTGAATGCTCTCTCTCTCTCTCTCTCTCTCTCTATGAATAGTATTTAATAACAAATAGTAAAACAAAATTCAATATAAACTTTAAATTCTTGGTAACTGCAGTGAGAGCAAAAAGTATTCGTACAAGGAAATTTGCTACAAAAAAAGTCTTATTTGTAGAAAATAAACATTAATTAGCAATTTTCTACAATAAATACATTCTGTTCTGACATAAACAAACGAGCTTCGCGTGTATTCCTGATTTTAGAAGCTAAATTTCTCGTTTGTATGAATACTTTTTCAAACAATACAATTTTTAATTTTCGCTTATTTTTCAGATGATATATTTTGTATAATTAATACACATCTTTCTGGTATATATAATTTTTTAAGAAACATACAGTCTATTTTATTCTTTATGATTAATAAATTGTTAATTATCCAACAAGAAATGATCGTTAATTAAACGTCGAATCGACGTCAAATTGATGTTGAAATCATCGTATTTATATCGATTCGACATTAATTCGATGACTCATTTTTATGTTACCTTTACCTTTTTAAAAATAAAATAAAAAAAAAATGTTTTCTCTAATACGAATACTTTTTGCATTCACTGTAATTGTAAGCCGCAAATTAAAATGCGAAAAACTAAAGTCTGTACAATATTAAATAAAAAAAAAAGAAACAAACAAGATTCTACTTTTTATTTTTCATTCTTCAAAATTTGATTTATCAGATTCTTCAATTCTTATTGTTAAATAGCTGACTGGCTTTAATGAAGAAAAGAAGTTTGAAGCGCCAGATCCGTCAAGAAATCCGCTTTTAGGATATTACATCGTGCAAATCGCTCTACGCGTGACTTGTGTGCGGAACGATCTTGAACGCGTTCGGGTAACAAGGCTCTCGACCACTCGCAACGAGCGAATTACGACGCGGAAACGACTTTTTGCCGCACGTAACAACTCGGTTACAGCGATATCTCGCGAACCGTTGTAGGATCGAAGCGAGGAGCGGAATTTACTCTCGCGCATGACCTGTTATTCCTACATTAACGCGGCGGTTTGCGAGGTTAACGAGTCTCCTATACCCCCGGCGTTGAAAACGCTCGTTGTTCATGTCTCGCTCCCGCCGTCAATAAACCGTCCACTTCGTCCCGATCTCGCGCCTACCTGCGCCATGACAGATCGCGGGATGATAGGAATAAGAGGATTTCCTCTTTACGGCAAACACACCCCGCGTTTACAAGCATCGTCACTTTATGGACGGAAATCTCCGAGGAGTTGCCTCTATATATCAACGGCAGATGCCCTTCGGTCAATCCTCATCTTTTCGCGTGCGCGACGTTCGAATTTCTTGGCTAGCTTACAGCCCTTCCCTTCAGGGTGTACCAGGCGGAAGGGTGACGAGATAAGGCGAATGCAGTATACCCTTCGCGTTCGTAAATCGTCCCGTGTTATCGACCCATCGATTTCGAGAACGGGGGATCTTCATCCGGTGCGGTAGACGTAAGGATGACATATTTGCGTACGTAAATTTAAAGATGACGATACAAGAGATCGTCTCGCCCGCATTCGCGTTTCTTACTTGCTAGTGTTAACAAAATCCTCGGTAAAATCCGGAATTTCAAACTCGCTAAAGAAGATAATGCAATCGATTTTACCGAGAGTGGCAATCTTCTCGAAACTTACTACGGAATATTCCGATAGAAACTTCAGAAAACATGTTATATATATAAGTTACATATGCACGTGTCCACCTCGTCTGGTACTAAACTCTGTACATGGGAATAACACGTGGGTTGAGTCTTGTCTTATCTACAAGCAACCCAGCTTGACCTTTACTCCTTTATTCAAGGAATTCCCGATGGAGAAAGTTTGTAGCGTCAAAACTCTCGGATAAGTGCCGATAAATTCGTGGCATTACTACTTTTTGAAACAATATAATAAAAAGGGTTTCGAGTCGTGTGAAAACATCACGGAATTACCAGCAGCTTACTTATATTAGGTGTACAAAAAAGTTCTGAGCTTTAGATTTGATACAACCGAAATAACAATTTAAATTTTATATATCTTCCCGCCCTTTTGGGGTTTTAAAACAGTAACATTTAACCTCCTGAAATGCGATACGGTTTGGCGTTTGATGCACATAACCTCAAAAATCAGTAGTGTTCACGATGGCAATTACAAAAGAGCATATTCGATTTTCCATCCACTTCGCGTTTCATCTGAAGAAAAATGCTGCTGAAGCCACTGA